GTTTAAAAACCCAAAAAAAAAAAAAACTGATAAAAACCCCCTTTAAAAAAAAAAAAAAATCCGAAGCGGTCACGGGTCTGTCCCTGGGGCAGCGCGATCGCTGGACTCGCGCCTCACTGCTTGGGGGAGGAAGATAAATATAAACTTCTGCTTTTTAGGAGGAACTTCATGTTCTCAAATTAACCCCTTGTTGTAGGGCTGCCATGACACTGCGGGGAGTTAGGTGCTGGTTTTGGTCTAGGGACAAAAATAAAGACAATACACTCACCTGATGCTCGGTCCCACCTGGCTGCTAGACCGAACCCTGCAGCCTCTTCTCTCCCCCTGGGGTCTGGTGGTCTATAGGACCTAATGCAAGTCCATAAGACGTGGGGACATACCACCGCCGGAGTGGAGGGGGCACTGACCGCAGCAAGACCGAGGATCAGGTGAGATATCCGTTTTATTACCACCAAAACAAACACTCCCATCATCCTCACGTAGCGAGCAGTGATGAGCAGGGACTTCGTAAGAGCAAAACGGTGCTAGACAGGTTTCTAGTAACGTCGGGGGTTAAGCAAGAAACTGGAAACACAGATGAAGCAGAAAATCATCACCCCCATCCCCCCCCACCCGCCGCCAAACCCATTACACGCTACCCTGAGCTGCCGAATCTCACGGCCAACAGGACGGAGGAATATGAAGTCTCATGGACAGGGCCGGCCCCTCCCCCTCATTATGCTCCATTATGATGGCTGAGCCGGTCACTTTGCACTTAAGACTTCCATTACCCGTGCGTTGCGTTACCTGCGCCGGCGACGCTTTCATGGCGGAGGCGCCTAGAGCGCCGCGATTTTATAAAGTGCCCAACGCCAGCGGTTCCGCTAGATGTTTACTGTTTGGAGTATGGACCTTGTTTTCTCATTCTCACTACAGGTTATCAAAGGGCTGCAACCTGTAGTCCGGGCATTGTGTGATGGTGAAGGGGGCGTCACCCAATAGAAGCTAAAGGAAAGCACTCCCAGGCTCCGCCCTGCAGCTCCGTGCCATCTGGTGACATAGGAAGACCCGGGAACTGCTCATAATGGGCACAGCGGGTGTACAGACCCGGGAACCCAGCACAGGGATGGTGGGAACCCCTCATAATGGGCACAGCGGGTGTACAGACCCGGGAACGCAGCACAGGGATGGTGGGAGCCCCTCATAATGGGCACAGCAGGTGTACAGACCCGGGAACGCAGCACAGGGATGGTGGGAGCCCCTCATAATGGGCACAGCGGGTGTACAGACCCGGGAACTCAGCACAGGGATGGTGGGGGCCCCTCATAATGGGCACAGCGGGTGTGCAGACCCGGGAACCCAGCACAGGGATGGTGGGGGCCCCTCATAATGGGCACAGCGGGTGTAGACCCGGGAACTCAGCACAGGGATGGAGGGAGCCACTCATAATGGGTACAGC